CGAGGGTAAATTTAATATAGTTGTCCAAAAAATTCGTTATATAAAAATTCGCTATAGAGAGGTATGACTGTATACAATGCAACTTCTGAACATATATATAATATAATTGAAAAAAAAGAAAATATATCACTATTTTATTTTGAATATAAAGTAGACATTTCTACTTTGAATAATTCAGCAAAGAAAGTAATAAACTATATGGTTGAATTGATTGAAAATACATATAAGTTTTTATGGATGTATGTATATTCTATAAATTTATAAAAATTAGTAAAAAATTCTTCTAATTTTAAACCTTATATTTTCAAGTTATTATCAATCTTATTCAGAAAGAAATATGACTATGTATCAGTATTTTTGCTTACAAAGTGATGATTTAGTGGCTAAATCTAGAAAACATCAAGATATTTCAAAGTATTATAATACAAAAGCAATGGGAAGATTTGGGTGTAATAGAGTAATTAAAGTTTCTATTAACAAATTAAACAATATAGCAAGCTTATCTATAAAGCATGAATTCCTATATAAAAAACCAATTAGTATAAATGTTTTTCAAGATATACTGTAAAAGATTTTATTAAAGAACATATAGATTTACTTTTAAAAGAAATACATGTATATGCATAACTTGTTGATAAAAATTTAGATCCATCTATTTGCTAAAAACAGATCTATTTATAATGGTTAAAATTAGGATAAAATAGATATAAACATAATGATAATACCTTTAAATCAATAATAAAATGGTTAAGTAAAAGAATTATAATATTTATTAGAAAAAATATACCTGTTCATATTATAGCTTTTATAATAGGATTATATGAAAAATTCAACCAAATGAATATTAAAATTCATGAATTTAACATTGGCGTAACATTATAAGTATTATAAATCTGCTATTTTTATAAATTTTATATTAAAATAAATTAATTAAAAATTGATTTAATTTATATATAATTGATTAAAGATAATACTAAAAATTTTAGATTTGAATTGTATACAATTAAAACTGAAATTAATAGAATAGGATTTTCTCTTACATACTTATTTTTAGAAAATAATAGGAGAAAAATTATATATTACAATTATTCAAAATTTTTACAAAGTTATGTAATATAGGAATATAACTAGAATTTCTTCTTTTAAATAAGAATTTTACACAAATAAATACTGCTATATTTATTTGAAAAGAAATAAAAATTCAATTATGTAAATAGTAGATAAAAAAAGCAGTTTTAATATGATTATCTAATAATAAAATACCTATAAATATCATATTTAATTTATTATCAAAACTTGATTTACATTTTCCTTTTAATAGAATTATATTATCTAATAAATTTGTCCTAAAAAATATCATCAAACAATTTGGAAAATAATGTAAAAACACCTTTATCAACATACTTTAATACCAATATCTGAAGGCATTTATTTACTTTACAAGCATAGAAATTTATAAAACCACTATTTAAGAAATGTATGAATTATGTAAAAAAATTCTTTAGTTTCCCTTTAGAGCTATTTATAAGGTTGCTTGTCTAAACTCATTATGGATTTGGCAAAATGGTTAAACCTTTAGTTTCGCTAAATTTTTATTAAGTATTTGATATAATTTCACCATTTTTATAAGCTTTGATATAGTTTTACCTTTTTTCAAATTTTGCAGATTTTTTAATAAGGTTTTAATATAATTTAACCAAGTTTTACTTTTACCATTTGGACGTCTATCTAAACTCTTGATTTCGTCTAACAACCTTAGCTATTTATAAAGTAAATAATATAGTGATAAAAAATGGTTTTTGTAGGCAAAATTTGTATATGAAGAAAAAATATCTATTTTTAAAACTACTATATTTGTAAAAGGCCATTAAAAAGTTATAAAATAAGATATTATTTTATAAGTTTTTTTGATTATGTTTGAATTTTGTTATATATATATTATTAACAAAAGTGATCCTATATCAACAATGAAAGTTAGAACAAATACAATTCAAAAAAGAAAATCAGAATAGATAAAACAATTTAAATTAGAATAAAAAAGATTATCAGTATATTAAATTAATAATAAATATATAATAAATATGAAAAAATTGGTATATAATTATTCAAATTACTTAATTAATCGATTTAATATATGTTGTCAACGTCTTACTGCGCCGATCATTGATGACCTATGGAATGACGACGTAATAAGTACTGTGCCAAATGATCTACAGAATCCCT